GAAAAGGCCCATCAAACAAGAGAGCTTAATGATATAGGCCAAGCGTCTTGGCTTTAGGGGTCAGCTCGCCCCTCCAATTGTAGGACGCCACATCGGCACCCTTGTTTTTGGGCCTGGCCCAAAAGCAATTCACTTTTTAATAGATATATACATAAGCTCAATAAGGGCTAAATATTTGAGATCAAGTTAGAGATTTTAGAAAAAATATTCTATTTTTTTTCCGAAAATTTTCAATTATATGCTACTTTTCTTGTTGAAAGTATGGTTAATTTCTTAATTTTCTACTATATCCCTATTTAATATTCGTTGATATCAATAAATATGAATTACTCATTTCTATAATTATTTAATTTAGGGATATATTAAAAAATATATAACAAAAAATTATATTTTCAACTATATTAATTATAAAATTAGGATGAAAACAAGTCTATCTTTATGGGACGGAAGAAGTATAAAATTTCGAGAAATTGGGTTTCTTTTATTTAATGTTATAATATTTTTTTTTTATGTAGGAATGTAAAGCGACAAAAATATCCTTCTTTTAATTGATCAAAACAATCCATTTCTTACTCTTAGGTTAACTAATGATTGAATCGACGGTGTCCGTCATTTTGTCCTCGTGCTGAGAATATTTTAAAGAATGCGACTGAAGTAAATAAAAAATTGGAGTAAAGTCTACAAAAAATAAAATATTTAGGACCGCAATTGCAATTATTCCATATTTATAATTATTTGTTTCTTAAAATTACGAGTTTGCACATACACCTCGTCCTTTTCTAATCTCAGAAGACTGAATTGAAATAGGTTTAAGGGTATTATTGACAATTCAGTATATTGCTATTTGGAGTGTCGCCATCATTACATTTATTTTATTAGTTTTATAATGTGGAAATGTGCTCATCGCAATAATAAATAATTTTTCTTACGGGATAATAAAAATGAAATTGATGTAATAAACACTCGTGATATTTTCCTTTTGTACTTGGTCCATCAGCCACGTACCATGGATAATCTATATTCAATATGAAAAATTGTAAGCAAGTGATATTCGTGAATTTAAACACAATCTTCGACAAAGTAATTTATAACGAAATCGGACAAATTTCATAGAAAAGTTGCTTAGCATTTAAACGAATTAGCTACTAGCTCATTTTAGATACACAACCCTAAAATCATTCCACGAGACAGAACCATTCTCTGAATTAGACAATAAAATATGATAATAAATTATCGAGTAACACTTTATATTAAAAGAAAAAATGCAACTACAAACGAGTATCGTAACTAGAGATTGATGATGCAAAGAAATAGGCGAGATAAATTTGAAAATTGAGAATTTCTTACTCTTAATAACGACGCGTTTCTCTATTCTTGTGAACGAGAGATTTAGACAAAGTTCGCCTCGAAATCTTGAGTATGTTGGGAAAGGGGATGGGCCAAAGGGGTGACCTGAGAACACAAGTGCATTGGGACAAAGCCAATCCCACTTCACATGTGTTCTCAAGCTCACTCCTATGGGGTGTGCCCTTGTTCTTGAAATCGCCATGTCTGGGAAATAGAATTGGGTTCCCTTTTTATAATAATAGTAGTTGTACTTGACTAGTGTAACTATGTGGTCATTCTATTGACACTTTCCCAAATCTCGATGTGACAGTTTTATAGAAATATTTTCACATTATTGGTATATAATAGTATCTCTCGGATCTAGTAGATTATTTCCATACTTTTATACTTGCAATCGGTGTAAGATTTTTCTTTTTGGCTACTAAATTTTATTTTTGTACAATTAAATCGCTTTAATTAAGATTTTGTTAGAATTGATCGATGTATCTGACGCAAGACGAAAATGTGAATAATAATGAAGGGGTTTTGTTCGTAACACACGAAAGAGTCTTGCTCGAATTTTATTTGAACGGATGTGACAAATATCGAAATTCATCACATAATGGAAAACTGAAATATTATTATTATGAAAAAAATGATTGTAGGACTTTTGAACACTTAAAACATATTTAAAGCATCAAAGCGAAACCCTAACTCGGTAAATAAATCAGAATAAAACTTGAAATTTGCAAAAATGATGAAAATAGCCTTCAATTGACTCAAAATAGAAAAATGCTAAAATGGGGACAAAACTATAGAGAACAGAAAAGCACTTTCGAATTGCACTCGTTTGCATAAATCCGACAGTCGAGCTGAAAGGTACACACGTTTTTTTAAGCATTTCTTATTTCTCCACTTTTCCAATTGATTTATATTGTTAACTTGACGAATTTGATCCCTTAATTTTATCGTTGTTTCTCATTGGAGATTGAATTTCACATCTTGCATCTTATCTATCACTCCTATGTTATCTTTTGAAAAATGAACGTATTTTATAACACATCACAATAGTTTTAGCCATGTCATGTGGTTAATTATTCTAATGTTCACTGAACTTTCATGGTTGCTTCTCATTAGTCACCGAACTTAGAATATGGATTCCCCATCCGTAACTCCTTCCTAACCTCGTTGATGACGTGGCAAACAACTTGCCAACGTGTCAGGCAAATCAAGTTATTTTCAACCATGCATAGATAACATTTTTGCATTTCGAACGTGTTTTTAAGGTTCAAATTGAAAAATAACATTCAAATCATCCATATGCACCCACCAATGTCAACCAGATAAAATCGTGATTGGGGATTTCTAATTCTATAGTGTCTTCCAACCCAACCTTAGTATAAATTACTAAAAAAGAAAAAAAAAAAACATAAATTAACAAAATAGAGAACGCAATCTAGTAAAACTTGCATTTTCGACGCATTTTGTCACAACATACTAAATTCAATTATGTATATTTTGAAGTAATGAACCATGGAAAATAAAGATGAAAGTTAAGCGATTGTTGGGGTTAAACTTTTCAACATTTCACGTCGTGCAGTTACTTGTCCCAATATTCGAAAGTCGGATTCTAAATTCTCAACTTATTTAAATATGTGAATCAAAATCTCCACATGGCATGATCGTAATATAGAAGTTAATATTGCACGTGATTTTCATGCAATATAAAATTGCTTAATGTTCACATTGACGGTGTCATCACACAAGAACTCAGATTTACATATTGAAATGGGTTGCTGAATTCAAAAACTTATTTATAAAGGTCGAAAAACCCATGATAATACCACATAAAAGTTGGGAGCTCAATCCTAATCTTTCCTTAAAATGATTAACCCCGACTGAATTATTAAGTCATGTTTGGTGAAAATTAAAATTAGATTTTTAATATTTTGATAAAAGTTCATGAAATGTATGATTAAAAAATTCCGACACATTAAATATGTGATTAAAATTAATTATTAATTTTGAGTTAGATTTAAATCCATTATATTCCAAATTGGGGGCTAAAAATAAAAGTTGGAAGACGTTGAGTTCAGAAAAAAGAAACGCTAAAAATGTCAACCTTGGATACCGCGTTCGCAATTATACTCCAACTTCCTAGATAGGGCAAGTATAAACCGTGTCCCAACTTCCAACAGACGAGTGAGACGTTCTAGGCCGGTCCGGTCCGGTCCGGTCCGGACCAAAAGAATGTGATTCAGAGATCAAATTAGCAGAATTTTCTTGTTTTCATTACGAGTAAATTAGGCCTAAAATTACCTAAATTTTAATTTTCTCATAGTCAAGTACCATATTTTAATCCAAAAAAGTTGAAATTTTTAAAACTAGCTCTGCACCTATCTAGCTTTTCTTTTACCTAAAATTATTCTTATAGAAAGAATTTGAAATAATAGAAACTGGCTTTATTTACCCCAGTGTAGCTTGGCATAGTCAAAATCCGATCTAGCTTTTGTATCTACATCTATTTTAGACCCTATTTTGTTCGGAATAAAATCAGATTTTAATTAAAGTCAAAGTCAAACAATCAATATTAACCACATCTTTCATCGTCCCACAACTTTCAACCATACATTTTAAAAATTTCTATCACAATTTACTAAAAATCTAATTTTAATCCTCACCAAACACCCACTTAATCGAAAGAAATTAAAATCAATCCCAACTCAACTAAATTGGCATGAGTAGGGATGTCAACATGGCAAAGATAGGAAAAGATTAAATCCCTGTTTGACGAAACTTTTGTGAGATTATAAGTTGGTCAAACTTTATTTTTTAACCACACATTTCATTAGGTCCACAAGAGAAGAGTTGATCTGCTGTAAAAAATTAGCTGTCCAACTTGCAATCCATCAAATGATTCATTTACAGATTACTTTATATTAACAAATAACATGTCCAACTTTTCTCTCATTGTTATTTATGCTTAAAATATGTGTAAGATAATGTGTTAATAAATAATTGATGAACCATAAATTGGACAGTCAATTTTGAACATTAGATTTCCACTTCAACTTTTGTTACTTTTTCACGCTAACTTGTAATATCAAAAAGTTGTCATTGACGAAACTTTAATAATTAATCGGGTATTTGGGTTAGGGATAGGGCGGGTAACTTTCTCTCGAGATGGGTACGGATAATGGGTACCCCATCTCGTCCCATTTAATTTTTATTTATTTATTTTTAGAATTCAATATTTTAAATTGAAAACTTTAAGCAATTTCATTAGCTCTAATAAAAAATGACGACTAAGATTATCTAAACAAATAACAAATAATACAAGTTTTAGTTTATCAAATATATTTGAATAATTTAACTTTTAAACATAAATAAAAAATTTTAAAAAATATATTATTATGTTATTTTAATAAATGTGGGCAGATGAGACAGGGACAAGATATTTTATCATGTGAATAATGAATTGTCCAACCCATGTCCTCTCTCTTCCTGTGGTGGTTACGACGACGCGTTGACAATACTAAAAGGAAGCTTCATTCATCCTTTCTTAGTGGTATAGACTATCTCCTATATATCCACAAATTTATCCCCTCCAATAATTCATTTTCATTTCATCTCTCAACACAATATCCAATCATCTTCTTGATTTCACTTTCTCAATGGATTTCTTCTCCAACCAGAACCATGATGAAAAAGGCAAGCCCACCCCTGATCACCCCCATAATCCAAACCACCACCCAAAACCATCAAAATCTGACCTTTTGAACAGCGCCAAGGTGGTGGCTGATGCCGCCAAATCCCATCTCCGCCATGAAGAGAACAAGGTTGACAATCACAAGGTCGCTGGTGCGGCGGCGGACCTCTTAAATGCCGCCTCCGAATATGGGAAGCTAGATGATAACGAGGGCCTGGGGAAATATGTTGACAAGGCTGAAAATTATCTCTATAAGTACCATACTTCTCATTCTTCCACCACAACCACCACCACTTATCCACACCACTCAACGACGACCACCACCACCACTGAAACCACACATACATCAGGGCATCCGGGTGGTGATCATGGCCATTCTAAAGGAGGGTATGGGGAGTATATTAAGATGGCAGAAGATCTGTTGAAGAAGCACTCTGGCGGCAGCGGTGGAGGCACCAACACCTCAACAGATCATATGCATTCATCAGGACATTCCGAAGGAGGTCATGGAAATTCAGGAAGTGGATATGGAGAATATATGAAGATGGCTGGAGATTTCATGAAGAAACATTGACTTCATTAATAGGCCAATAGGCATTTACCTTGTATTTATTTAATGTGTAATGTTATATTGCTTTTTATTGACTGTATTGCTGCTTTTATGATGGTTAGAGTAATTCAATTATGTGGGCTTCCATCTTATTGCGATTTTTACGGATTAGATGTATATTTTGCAATGATATTATGATTAAATCCGATATGTTAGTGATCATTTGGGTCGTTTTACACATTACATGATATATTATTATAATGTGACAATTTTAAATATGTGGACATGAATTATGTAAATCCTAATTAGGGTTTAAATCGGTAATGGGCCGATTTTATGATTTACTATATAATCGCTAGGTCTCATCTCCTCTCTATTGTTGGTTTTAGCTTGCTTCATTGACGGCTGATTATTTGTGAGAAGTAAGGAGAGGAAGATCTAACTGATAATATTCATACATAACAATGTCTTCCGCATGTATGCATTTCGAACTATCAATTAACTATGTGATTCTTATTATTAGCATGATTGTATTGAATAATTTCAACAATTGGTATCAAAGCGGCATGTTAAGATTAGAGTCATTTAAACAATATAATAAAATAAAATTGATTTTTGAAATTCTTGCTTATCCGTCTGTATATATGTTTGTATGTATTCCAAACACAAAATAATGTAAATGGACTATTTTCTCCCCTCCTTCCCAAAATTGTAGAGCCCCGTCTGTGCGCATATGAACCCGTGTGTGGTTATGTATTGGTGTATGGATTTTGCCTTTGTTTTGTATGTGTGTATGTACAGATGGCTGAAATTGACTCAAAATCAATGTGTATAAACTGAAATTTTTTTCCCAGCAATCCTCTTTGTGTGTAAAAAAAAAAAAAAAATTATTTGCCTACACCATTGCCCGTTTTGGGGGCAGCAGCGCAGACTGCTGCAGACGACAAGTGCTGCTACGGGCAGCAGCGCAGGCTGCTGCAGTTGCAGCCGACGCCTGTTGCCACGGTTGCCGTCCTTGGGCAGCCGTAAGCTGCTGTTTACTGGGGAGGAGGTGCGTTGAGGGACTTTGGGTCGACAACGGCGCCTCAAGAAGGAAAACTTAGGGTTTTTGAATTGTTTTGAATGGATTTGGGGATGGGGGCTTGTCTGCAATTTCAGAATTTTTGGGGCTTCTTGCAATTAACACTCAAGGGTCAGCTTGCAATTTAAGGAGGAAGGACTTTAGCTGTAATTTTTGATTTTAGAGGCCCTTTTTTACATAATTTTAATTCAAGGTCAATTTTGTAATTTTAACTATTGAATTTAAAGTTTTAAAAATGAGATTTTTAAATTTGATCCACTATATTTCAATTTTGAAATAAAATTAAAATTATATTTAAAATTGACTACTTTATATTTTTGTTGAAATAATTAATTGTCATTATTTTTTATTCATTTAAATTTCATTTTCATATATTGAAATTTAGTTGTCAATTCCGTTTTATAATCGCACATGAATTTTACTTTTCGTCGTTTGATGATTGTGATTATTATAATTAAGTTTTTCGTGGACTTCAAGTCTATCTTAATGCTCTCATTATGAGAAATATTTAAAATAAAAGTGGGTGGTAGTTGCCAAAGTGGCACACTCATTTTCATTTATCTGGTTTTCTTCAAAAAAATAAAAAAAAATAAAAAGGAAAATTGACATTAGCATTACAATTTTGAATTATTACATATAGTATCTTGCCCAAATGGGTATTATATGTAACAGTTTTTTGGAAATTGACATAAAACAGTTAACGATTTTAATTGGTCTAGAAATCTCCTTCTGCCTAAAGGTGTTGGTGTTTCGAAAACCAATCTGTTTTGTTAACCAACTTGATTATGTATTTTAAGAGTAATTTACAACATGTTATATTGTTAGCCCAAATGTGACTTTACAATGATGCATCTAGACTCTTACTGTAATATTGTTCATTTGGTTTTGACTTTAATTACAGACCACCTAATTGGTAGCCCATGCTAATTAGATGAATATGTTATCATCCAGTGTCTGCATGCACTATGTAGGGGTTGGCAAAAACCGACAGAACCCGACCAAACCGAACCAACTCGACTGGGTTGGGTCGATTTTTTTCCCTTTTTTTACTCGGTTCGATTTTTGGCAAGTTCAAGCGGGTCGGGTTATGGGTTAACCCACATAGCCCGACAAAAACCGCCCAACCCGACCCGCCAATTAAAAAAAAAATCCGATTTTTTTCAAATTAAAGGTAAAACCCTAAAGGACCTAAACTTGGACAGCAGACTCCTCCTTTCATTTCCCCTCAACTGCGCACACAACCAAGTCAGCAGCCGACTTCCCTCTTCCAGTTTTTTCCTCTCTTCAATCTTCATACTTTCTCTCTTTCAAGTTTCATCTCTTCATATTTTGCATCATACAATTCTTCCACTTTCAGATTCATTTCTTGTTACACATTGTTTTGTGAATCATCCCTAATTTTCAAAACTTACATTTTTGGTTGCTAGAATATTTCAGCCTTGAGTATCTAGATGTGCTCACATTGCATTTTTCAGCAGTTGTTGAGTGTTGACGTCAGTATAAACTTCACTAAGAACCATTGCCGACTCTGTTCATGTATGAGGAGTGCAGAGAGGATAGAATTTTATGATATAGTGGTCGTGAGAAGCTTGAGATTATGGATATTTTATGGAGATCTGGTTTCTTTCTGTGCCCTCCTTTTCGTAATCCTTTTCTTCTTTATTGATTGGAATTGCAGAGATGGCAGGATTAAAGTAATTGGTGGAGACAATATTGAAGGCCTCCTTATATCTCCTTAATCTTTGCCCTTTAAGAATTTAGAGGTTAGTAGTCTTAGGTCATAAAGTGCACTGCATCTTATCCCCCATCCTCTTCTATCTTGTCCATTACTCTTGTTACGGGATATTTGTTTTTTATTGCTTTACTTCAGTAGTTGGTTTTGAATTTTCATGTTTGTTTCTTAAATCATATTCATTTCACAAGATGATGAAGGGCAAAAAAGCTGAATTCAATGAAGATAGGAAGATGATTGTCTTTTCAGTGTGTTTCTTAAATTCAATGAAGATGATGAATGGCAAAAAAGTTTCTAGGATGCGAATGTGCTACTGTGATTCATTTTAATGAAATGTGATTGTTTTTGTTTAATTATTTTGATGAATATCTGGTGGATTGTATTATTTTAATTTTCAAGTTTACTATATTAATGTTACTTTAAATGAAAAAATTAGATGATTTTAATATTTGTGTAACAAGCCGTCCCGAACCGATCAACCAAACCTAACCCGACCTACACATAATTGGGTTGGGTTGGGTTGGGTTGGGTTGAGTTTCAACATTTATATGGGTTGGGTTGAGGTTTTTCTCCTTTTTTAGACTTTGGGAAAGGGAATGCAGTGAATTTAAACTAAGAATTTCGAACCCACCCAACCCAACCCAACCCGACTGACATTTGGTTGGGTTGGGTTGGGTTGGGTTTGGGTTGGGGCAAAAACCGACCCAACCCAACCCATGCCCACCCCCAGCACTATGTTTGGATGATATTAAAATATGTTATTTTATGTTTCAGCAGTTTTAAATGCCTCAATTCTTTCGAGTCAATTATCTGCTATTCAGGATAATGAAAATGCTAAAGGTTTAATGGATGTTATAGGAATGAGATTTGTTGAGTTTGATAAAACTGAAACTGTAGATATGATGGACAAACTGATGAATATGACATATGATGATGCAAGTGGAGCTTTGGCCTTAGTTTGTTTTGAGTTTTCTTTTGTGGATGTTCCTTTAAATTCTTGGTGGCTAGACTCGGGAGCCAGTATATATATTGCGAATTCCTTACAGGAGTTCACAAGCAAATGGAGACCTAGTGAGAATGAAATAAGCCTGTACGTTGGAAATGAAGTTCAAGTGAAGGTTGAGTTCATAGGAGTAGTGAAGTTGTATTTGGAGACTGGTTTCTCCATTGTCTTAGAGAATATTGTTTTTATGCCGACAATTAGACGGAATTTAATTTCTACATCTAAACTTGATACTTCTGGTTTTTCCTTTATTTTTGGTAAATGAATGGTTGAATTGTTTCATGATTCTCGCTTGATTGGAAATAGTCTCTTATGTGATGGTTTATTTAAATTGCCTTTGATTTCTTTTGGTGAAGTCTCTTGTGTTGTGAATGTGTCAAAGAGAAGGTCTCCAATTCGTGAATCATCCTCCATGTTGTGGCATAAGCAGTTGGGTCACATTTCAAATGATAGAATAGAGAGATTTGTTAAAGTTGAGATACTTCCATCTCTTGACTTCTTCGATTTTGACACTTGTATGGATTATATAAGATGAAAGTTGACTAAATCTACTAGGAAATGCTCCATTAGGAGTGATGGTATTTTGAACTTAATACATACTGATATTAGTGGACCTTTGCCTTCCACCATATGTGGGAACAAATAGTTTATAACCTTCATTGACGATTTTTCGCGATATGAATATGTTTACTTGATTAATGATAAATCGCGTGTACTTGAGAAATTCAAGATTTTCAAAATGGAAGTAGAGAAACAACGTGGGAAAAATATCAAAGTTGTAAGATCTGATCGGGGTGGTGAATACTATGGGAAGTATGATGAGTTTGGTCAAAACATGGATGATTTTGCAAAGTTTTTACAAGGGTGTGGCCTAGTGCCTCAATACACCATGCCGGAATACCTGAACAGAATGGCGTTTCGGAAAGACACAATCGGACTCTAACAGACATGGTTAGAAGCATGATGAGTAGAACAAATTTGCCAGAATATCTATGAGGTGAAGTTTTGAGAACTGATATGTATATTTTGAACAGAGTTCTGAGTAAAGATGTTGCAAAGACACCTTTCGAATTGTGGACATGACGTAAGCTAAGTATGGCTCATTTCAGAGTTTGGGGATGTCTAGCTGAGGTGAGAATTTATAATCCATTTGAGAAGAAATTAGACCCAAAATCCACTCCTGGTTACTTCCTTGGGTACCCAGATAAATCAAAAGGATATAAGTTCTATTGTCCAAACCTTGACATCAGGATTGTCGAGTCAATCACTGTAAAATTTCTGGAAAATGATTTTAATGATAATGGGAGTTCGACGTTGAAGGAATTTTTTGTTGTACCAAATCCTGTTATTGTTCCAGCTCCTGTTAATAGGAGAGAGTTATAACTCAACTAGCTAAAATTGTTAATGAAGAACCCGGGCGCCAAGAGGAACTTCAGGTTCCTCCACCAACAACGATTGAGTCAGTTACTAAGCTACAAGTTAGGGGATCACAAAAGGAAAGATGGTCTGCATTGTCCAGTGATTATATCACATATTTGTTGGAGAGTGATTTTAATATTGGGCATTTTGTTGATCCCGTTACTTTTAATCAAGCATTATTAAATCCTGAGTCATATAAATGGATAAATGCTATGGAAGATGAAATGAATTCTATGGAACAAAATAAAGTTTGGGAACTTGTTGAACTTCCCTCGGCGCTAAATCCATAGATAACAAGTGGATCTTCAAAAGCAAATTGAACTCAAAAGGGAATGTTGAACGAAAGAAGGCGAGATTGGTTACAAAAGGGTTCACTCAACTAGAGGACATTGACTACAATGAAACTTTTTCACCTATTTCATCCAAAAATTCTTTTCGAATTATCATGGCATTTGTGGCACATTATGATTTGGAGTTTCATCAGATGGATGTTAAGACAACTTTTCTAAATGGAGATCTTTCGAAAAGGGTTTACACTTTACATGAGACAACCTGAATATTTTGTTGTAAAGGGAACATAAAACTTGATATGAAAGTTGAATAAATTCTTATATGGTCTCAAGCAGGCATCTCAACGGTGGTATTTGAAGTTAAATGAGGTTGTGACTTCTCTTGATTTTTTTCAAAATATAGTTGATCAATGTATTTATCTTAAAATCAGTGGGAGAAAACTTATTTATCTTGTCTTGTATGCTGAGGACATTTTACTTGCAAGTAGTGACTTAGGGTTACTTCATGAGACAAAGTAGATGTTATCTGCTAATTTTGAGATGAAAGATTTTGGAGAAACTACTTATGTGCTGGCATTGAAATACACCGTGATAGAAATCGTGGCATGTTGGGACTTTCTCAGAAGGCTTATATACGACGTGTTTAGAAAGGTTCAATATGCAGAAATGTGCATCTAGTGATGTACCTATCATAAAAGGGGATAAGTTTAACAAAGTTCAATGTCCAAGGAATGAGCTAGAAAGAGAATCTATCAAGATGATTCCATATACTAGTACTGTGGGGAGTTTGATGTATGCTCAAGTTTGCACTAGACCAGGTATTGCTTATGCAGTCAGTGTTCTCAGTAGGGTTTAGTAGAATCCAGGGCAAGAGCATTAGAAAGCGACTAAGAAAGTTATGAGATACTTAAAGAAAACTGAAAGTTGCATGCTGACTTTCCAGCGTTCAAATCACCTTGAGGTGGTAGGCTACTCAGATTCTGATTTTGTTGGATGTCAAGATGATTTGAAGTCAACCTCAGGTTATATTTTCATGTTGGTTGGATGTGCTATCTCTTGGAAAATTGTTAAGCATACTCTAATGGAATCTCCTACAATGCAGGCTGAATTTGTGGCATGTTATGTAGCTACAATTCAAGCTGTTTGGTTGAGGAATTTTATTTCTGGGTTGAAAGTTGTTGACTCCATCTCGAGGCCAATCACTATTTATTGTGATAATAGCGCAACAGTGTTCTTTTCAAGAAACAATAAAAGTTTTAGTGGATCAAAACACATTGACATCAAATATTTGGTGGTCAGAGACATCAATTAATTATGTGATTCTTATTCTTAGCATGATTGTATTGAATAATTTCAACACTGATACCAT